TTAAGACTGAAGAATAAAGACATTTACAACGCAAAAAAATTCAGTGAAATGCATATCTGATAAAGCATTTATGTCCCAAATACAGTGGACTTTTAAAATGCAACAATAAGAAAACAAACAGCCCAATTTTTAAAAATGAATAAAACATCCAAATAGACATCTCACCCAAGAAGATACACAGATGGCAAATAAGCATATGAAAAGATGTTCAGCATCATAGGACATTAGGGAATTACAAATCAAAATAACAACCATGAGATACCAGTATATACCTATTAGAATGGCTAAAATCCAAAAATCTGACAATACCAAATGCTGATGAGGATGCAGAGCGACAGCCATGCTCACACATTATACGCAGGGACTCCAAATAATACAGTCATTTTAGAACAGCCCCATGGTTTTAAAAAATAACTCAACAGAGAACTAAAATACAAACTGGCAATTGCACTCCTAGGTATTTACTCAAACAAATTGAAAACTTGTATCCACGCAGATAATCTGAACACAAATGTTCACAGCCACTTTATCCCTAAGCTTCAAAATGGGAAAGCAACCAAAACTGGAGGAAGGAGTCCTTTAATAGCTGAATGGATAAACAAACTGGAGTACTTCCTGACAATGGAATGTTATCACAAAGACTTGAGGAAACATTAAAAGCAATTGTTCCATAAAAGAACTCAGTCTGAAAGGCTGGAAGCTCCATACCAGAAGACATTTTGCAAAAGGCAAATCTTTGGTGACTAGGGGGAAAAGATCTGGGGTAGCCAAAGTTTAGAAGGGGTGAGTCTAACAGGTGGAACACAAGGGATTTTTAGAGTGAAACCAGTCTATGGATACTGCTCTGGTGGATACATTACACATTAGTCAAACTACAGAGCAATATAACAGAGGGAGGGAATTGTTTAATGTAAACTATGGACTCAGATAATAATAATGTGTCAATATTGGCTCATTAATTGTAACAAGTATGCCACACTAATGCAAACTTTTAATAATAGGAAAAACTGTAGGGGGGAGGAGAGGGGGGAATATATGGAATTCTCTGTCCTATCCTGCTCAATTTTTGTATAGCATTATAACGTCTAAAAAATATAGTCTAGGGGCCTCCCTGGTGGTGCAAGGGGTTAAGATGCAACCTATGAAGCTATCTGCAGACACTGCAGCACAAGTTTGAACTCCAGCCAAGAAGCTACCCACATGGCACAGCAGACCTCTCCTGACTTGCTTGCTGCTCCCCTCAGCAGTGTATTTCAGTACATCTGCCTGTTCTGTTCCCCACTCTGTCTGGTGAATCCTCTCACCCCCACACCTCTGGCCTGTACGCCAGTTCTTGTATGCATAAATAAATCTTTAAAAAAATAAAAATTATAGTCTATGACTTAGAAAAAGAAAACTGAAAAAAAAAAAAGCACTGACTAGTATGCATAGAGAAAATTAACAAAAAATATGCAGCAACAGGGCCTCCTCTGGTGGCGCAGGCGGTTGAGCACCTCGCTGTGAAGCTGTCCGCTGCCTCTACAGCGCTGGTTCAATCCCAGCTGGCCGGTGAGGGTCCCACATGGTGCAGCAGACCTCTCCTGTCACGCCCGCTGCTCCTCTCATCAGTGTATTTCATCAGTTTGCCTGTTTTGTTCCCCGCTCTGTCTCCGGTAAATCCTCTCACCCTCCCACACATCTGGCCTGTACCCTGGTTCTTGCATAAATAAATAAATAAATCTTTTAAATAAATCTTTTAAAAAAAAATGCAGCAACAAAAAAAGACACTCAACCCAGAGGGATTAGTAAAGAAACTGGTTAAATATGCTAGTAAATGAAATATGTACTGACTAAATAAGCACAAAAGGTAGTTTGGGAAGACTTAAAAATTAGGGGAAAATGTGAGTCCCCCATATAGCATATGAATTATATACCAATAAAGCAGTTACCCCAAAAATGTACATGGCCCATAACTTAGCAGTTACATTTCTAAGTATAAATTATCCCCACATGTGTACAGAGAGGCCAGAGTAATAACATAACTGCAGCATTATTAATAATTTCAAAGACAAGAAATTAACCTAAATGCCCATCCACGGTAGAATATTGTTCATGGAAATACATATGTGCCAAAGCATAAAATATGGACAGAATGAATACAGCTCCGTGAACACTGGGTTCTGGAGGGGCAGAGAGGAGCCACCTTCTCAGAAGAGCAAATGACATTTTATGGTTTACTTGTCCAAAAGGAACTCTAAATCCTCATCTCCCAAAGCAGACATGACTCACCCCCTCTTCTTCCCATCTCAGTAGATGCAGAAAATGGCACCATCATTCTCCCAGACATTTAACACCAAAACTGCCTAGAAAGTAACCCCTGACTCCTCTTTCTCACCCTCTCACTTAAGCCACCAGGACATCTCTGTATTCAGCGAATCACAAGTGTCTTATCACTAGCCCAGAGCAAATACCCATCCATTCTGGATTTATGCTACAGCAGTCTTTTATCTGGATTTTCTGCTTCTCTTCTTACACATTTACAGTCAAGAAGTTTTTCGAAAACATAAATAAGATCGTGACAGTTCTGTTCAAAACCCACTAAGTTCCTCCAAGAGCTTCTCATCACACCTGAAACAAAACCCAGTGTCCTTACTGTGATCCAGAAGGCCCTGCATACTTGCGACCAGGTCTTGCCAGCGATCCTACCCTCACTCACTCCACTGCATCCCCAGTCATCACCCTGTTTCCAGACCCACCATATACCCACCACTGCCACAGACTTGGGCGATATCTGTTGCCTCAATTCCAAGGCTCTTCTCCAGATATTGCAGTGACTTTTGGTGAAAAGACTCAGCAGAAATGGCTTCCTGTATCTAAGAGTGTTCAAACTCCCAGACATCAACTGAAAGTTGTGAGGACCTGTTGTGCAGCATGCAAGTGGTTAACAAGTGTACTGTCTGTATGAAAGTTAATAATATAGATCTTGAAAGTTTTCATCACAAGAAAAAAGTTTGTACTATGACTGGTGATGGGTGTTAACTAGACTTATTATGGTGATCATGCTCAATATATATAAATATCAAATCTCTGTTCTGTACACCTGAAACTAATATAATGTTCCAGGTCAATTATATCTAAAAAATATTGTGCACAACCCAATTATTCCCCACTTCCACCCCCTCTCTTTGCTTCAATCAATATATTCCTTATTAGTTGTCTCTTCCCAGCCAGAATACAGGTTTCTTGAAGGCAGGGGCTTTCACTGGTGTCTTCTTCACTGTGTCTTCAACATACAGAACAACATCTGGCTCAGAGGAGGCAATCAGAAATACATGAAGAATCAATCAATCACTCAATGATGCTCTAAGTAGACATCAACTTGATCTATAATAGTCCCTTGTGAGAAAGACATGAGGCAAACTGGGGTGCCAATAGTGTGTTCCAAAGGCTGAATCAGACAGATCAGTGGCTTGACAGTTCTAGAATGAATGTGGCTCAGGTGGGGCATGGGGGAAACCAGGATAAAGTAGGTGACCAGGGAAATCCTTGGACATTGTCTCTCACTGGCTGTGAGAGGAGAGAAATCACCTAATGTCTCCAGACCTGAGTTCCACCTACACCACACCAGCCTTGCATCTGCGGGTGGGGAGAACAGCAGCTGTTCCATGCTCAGGAGTCATGAAGTGTCTACAGGGATGCACTGCTCACAGGGGAGGAGAGGTGGCTGACCTTGAGAAGACCTCAAACCCCAGCTGGTGGTCAGCCTCAATAATTCACATCTACCAGTGAGATTCACTTTCACTGGTTAATCAAAAGACCCCTCAGGTTCCTTCTGGCTCCAATGTTCTAAAACTCATTGTTTCAAACTGCCCTGAGTCCCTCTATCTTACTACAATTGAAGAAAAATCAAAACCACCTAAGGTTTTGAACTGTGGAGCTTGCAAAGCATTTTTCCACATGTCATTTCATGCAAACCTGCCACTGAACCTCTCACGTTCCCAAGGCAGACATAAACATGACCCCAGTTCACAGCTGAGGAAATCGAGGCTGGAAACACTGAGGCTGGCCTAAAAGAATATGGTCTGACAGGCCTGTGAATGAAATCCCTCGTAAGCCAGCTTCTGTGCTCCCAGGGCTTCTCTCCCCAGATGGGTGTAGTTGGTCCTTCTCAAATGTGACAATGACGACAATGGGCTGAGAAAACCATGCAGACCTTGCAGTTCCCGCCACGGTGCATTCCGATGTTTAGGCCACAGGCTGAGTGTGCAGCCTGCTCCTCCCCTGCTGAGAGCCAACCAGCCTGAGATGACTTCTCCAGGCTCATCTCAGCCGGCCTTCTTCCTTGCTTGCTCCCTCACACCACAAGGGCCTTTCTCTGCCTGGAATGTTCTGCCCTCCCAGACCAAGTCTGAGCCTCATTGCAGGCTCTTATATAAAACACACTACTTGCCTCTCAGCAAAAGTATTTTTCACACTTGGAAATTTCTAAGGATTTGTGTCTGTCTCTCCTGCTAGGCAATAAGCTCCATCAGGGCACGCAAGGCTAATCTAGACTGTGTTTGCCTTTGCATCACCATGTACCTAGCTAGGGAGGGTGTGTGAGAGGCTATAAGGTCTGAAAGTGCTGAGGCCCTCTTATGACCATGAGGGAAGAGCTTGAAGCTGCAGGGAAATGTCACTCGCGTCGACCCTGGAGATGACAGCTCAACACAAAGGGCAGCTCTGAGAGCCAGAGGTCAGGTGGTTATGATCTTGGTGATAAATAAAATAAATACAAGCATGGTGCCATTCCACGTCTGGGTAACAGCCAGAGCTGAGAGGCTGTTGAGGATCTGGGTCCAGGCATGCCCCAAGGACCACAGATGCCTCCACAGCAGGAAAGGAACAAATCCAAGCCCACAAGCTATGCCCACCAATCGCTGCTTGACAAACTTTCCACCAACCAGAGCCACACTGACTGAATACCTCATTTGCATAAATTGGGTCTAGCTCTTCCCCTCCGGCCTATATAAGCAGCTTACCTCAGAACTCTGCTGGGAGGGCACTTGACAGACTGCAGTGGAAGATTATGGGTGCACTGGTGGTGGGCATGGTATGATAACACACACTGAAGAGGTGTAGACCTGTACCCTAAATCATACACAGTATCAGAAAACAACATTACCTCAAAAATTTAATTTTAAAAAATAAGTTCTTAAAATCACTTGTTTTAACTCATGTCTCCTCTATTAGACTGTAAACATCATCAGTTTATGGGCCTCAGTTCTCCTGTCCATGCCCATGTCCCCAAGATCTAGCCAGTGTCCAACCTGCAAAAGATTGGCTTAGTAATAAATAATTGTCAGTGAACAAAGATCTTGACAAAGCACCAAAGAGCACATGAAGGTCAGAACCAGCAAGTTTCTGGGGAATCATTTTGCTGTAGAACAAGAATTTTCAACCAAGACAGCACATCTGGGGGAGAGGTGGGGCAAAATGTCAGAAAATGATACACCTTCTCCACAGGACTCAAACCTAGGTGTCTGGTCCATGTAAAGAATTTCTCAAGCCCTGGTATCAGTCCTCTAGGAGCTTAAACACCTCAGTCAGTAAGTGGCCTTAACTCCTAGGAGCAGGTGGGAAGGCAAAACCTGCCCAACCAGCACCCCAACCAGTGTAGACTCTCATGAGGAGGGGCAGGAGACGTGGGTTCCAGGTCCATAGTCACGGCTTACAGAGCAAAACACCAACGTCTCTCCAATGGGGCTTTATATGCCCCTTTTATATACTCTTGGAGCTCCTGAGAGCAGACAGGGATGGGGGCTGGCTGAACAAGGGGGGAGGCACAGGGATGGGAGGCCAGGGAGGCGACTGCTTTTTCACTCATGTTATAAAAATCAGCTCAGAGGAAATGGAAAACAAACATAGGCTGATTTTTTTTTTCCCTTAGAATTATCATATCTAAAACCCTGAGTGTAAATTTTTCTATTTTTGGGTTTTCTAAACAACATTTAACTTAGTGTTTTACATCCAGGGTAAACATTTGCCAGACATCTCTGGCCCGCGTCGAGAGTTTCTTTAAAAAGTTTGTTCTGTGGGCCTCCCTGGTGGCGCAGCGGTTGAGTGCTGGGTTGCGAAGCTGCACGCAGAGCCTCTGCGGCGCCGGTTCGATCCCCGGCTGCTTCCCAGCCACTGGAGGAGGGTCCCACATGGCGCGCAGACCTCTCCTGCCGCCCGCTGCTCCCCTCAGCAGTGTGCTTCGGTCCTTCTGCCTGCTCTGCTCCCCGCTCTGGCTCTGGTGAATTCTCTCACCCTCCCGCGCTTCTGACTGTACCCAGTGCATGTATAAACAAACAAACAAAAAAAAAACAAATAAATAAAAACATGCCTCTATTAAAAAAAAAAAAAAGTTTGTTCTGCTCATGATGGGAAAACTCTGCGTTCAACTCAGGACACTCAACCGCCTGTGGCCCCAAGCACGCCCTGCCCTCCATCCACGAGGCGCGTTCACGAGGCAAGCGGACACCACACCTGCAGAAGAGCCCTTTCTGGGAGGTCTGTCTTAGTACCCTGCACTGACTCCTAATGAAGGGCTAGAGTGTGGAGGAGCAAGTCAATGGCTGACCTGCCACTCAGGTGCGGCTGTGTCAGTGCTGCCAGGCTGCAAAATGTCTGGGGAAATTCAGCCACATCAGGCAGCAGAGAGACAAGAGAGACACACAGACGGCACTTTTTACAGTCAAACCAGAGGATCAGAAGTTGTGCCTGTCAAGATGCATCTACAAACGTGAGGAAGGGTCTGCAGAAAGCAGCCAGGAAGCCACGGAGAAAGCTGAAAGGTAAAGCATGCAGACCACCACATCCACCCTCCCCGTGATGGAAGGTCTTGAAGCCAATGAGTAAGTTCTTATTTCTTTAAATAAGAACTTCAGGGTCTCCCTGGTGGTGCAAGAGTTAAAACCTCAGCACTATGAATCTGTCTTCAGGCACTGCGGCCTGAGTTTGATCCTCGGCCAGGGAGCTACCCACATGGCGCAGCAGACCTCTCCTATCTCACCTGCTGCTCCCCTCAGTGGTGCATTTCAGTCAATCCACCTGTTCTGCTCCCCACTGTCTCTGGTGAATCCTTTTATCTCCTGGCACCTCTGGCCTGTACCCCAGTTCTAGTATGCATAAATAAATTCTAAAAATAATCTTAAAAAAAATAAGAACTTCAATTATGTTGTGGCCCCTCCATACACTTAAACACATCTCACAACTCAGGCCTCGATGTTATCCACACTTGACATATCAGGAAACTGAGAGTTTAAGCAGTTAAGTAACTTGCCTGTGTTATGAAATGAAGAAGTCAAGGCACAACCTTTAATCCACATTCTTTCCACTACAACAGTGCTGCTCCCCAAAGGTTAAAACATAAATCTCTGAGATTCTAATTTGCCTCTTGGTCTAGGTTTAAACCAGAAGGTAGTTCAAAGTGGAACATGTTTGAGTTATGGCCGGGGTTATCTAGTTGGAACTATCCAGAAGGTAGCTAGATGGCTGTATTCTAAAAGACGACTCCTCTCATTGACAGTGCAGACTCCAGAGGTCTTCTGAACCCCATTTGGTTAGAGCCAAGGACTCAGCAAAATTCCAGGGGGCAGCGCCTATACACAGGTGGAAGCAGAGCCCAAGACAGTGGCATGTCTGGTTACACTGTCGAGTCAACCATGGTAGACACTCAACAAACTAAACCAGCATCCTGGGCAGGGAAGCACCTGGGAAAACTTCCAGCCAAGTCCAGGTCCTCTTTCCGAAGTCCTACTACCATTTGAAAGATGTATTTTTTTTTCCTGTTGAAATACAAAATAATACTTCAACTAGGGGTAGCTAAGACTCCAGTTCGCATCTTGCTCCCTTGGCTCTTGACCAAACACCAAAGGGGCAACAAGCAGAAGAGTGTGGGAGGAGCCAGGCCTTTGGGGTTGGGCTAATTTGGCTCAAGTTCAGGCTCACCTCCAGCAGCTGTATGCCCTTAGGCACCTCGCTGGATTTCTCCGGCTTTTTCTCTTATGTAAAATGTGAATAATACTTGCCACCTCCACTCCTCACCAACACTGGGGCTCTTCTGAGGATTAAAGGAAATGACCTACAAAGGCCTCTTACATCCCACTGCAGGCATCCAGCAGGGACTTCATAATCCCCCTGGCTGTCACATCAGATCTGATGCTGACCTCAGAGCTGGCCATCTGAGGTGCCCAAATCTTATTCCTGAGGACCAACCTTTTGAGCTAAACCTCAAAGAGGCTTCCTGTGAACTGCTGGCCCTACCTGGTTTCCTGAGGAGGAACCTTCTCATAAGGAGGATTTTCCAAAAGCCACTCTTTGAAAAAGGCCTATCTGACCAACAGCCAACTTTCAAGAAGCAGCTGCCGCCCAACCTGAAAGATGTCCTTTCCATGCAATGTGCTTCTGAGAGAAGATTCTAGAGGGACCTCAAACCCAGACCCGGGGCTGAGATGAATGGGCTGTGCTCACGAATTCTGACCGTCACCTGACCTCTCTGCAGAGTGACACAGCCCCAACAGCTGTGGAATGTCAAAACCAAGGCTGCTTGAGTCTAAAGGACCCCTCCTCCATCGCGAGAGGAAATAAAACACATTTGAGTCTCTACTTCGTTATGTTTCGCTTGTGAGGAACAAATGTCGGCAAGATATAGGATCCACAGCGCAGTTTGCCACCAAAATGCACAGAACATCATTTTATATGAAGCTACACCCGCTTAATTGTGATGCATTAAGTATTATGTTCATTGTTTCCGAAACTGGATAGAAATGAATAATTTATTTCAGACAAAGGAAACTCTTGAATATGAAATGCCTCATCTTTTAAAATTACAATTTGGAAGACAAGAATGAAAAAATACCCATCGTCAGTGAACCTTCTACTGCTAATAGAAAACAATGCTTCGACTGTTTCTACTTTGTTTGCAAACATTACATTTTTAAACATTCTTGAGAATAATCAGAGAGGGGAAAAAACACTACGGTTTCACCACACTCAATTCCGATTAACACAGAGCTGGCAAGCCCAATACGAACGTACCAGACCAGGTGGACAGCTTTTCTTGCCCCACCAACGCACCTGGCTGACCTGGAAGCCACATCCCTGCACACACACGACTCTCCCACCCCAGCCTCTGCCTCCTCCTTTCGGGGCTTCCTTTCCTGGAGCCTAGCTACCCACTTCTGCCCTTCGCTCCATGGCTCTCTGCTGCATCCTGCACTTTCTGGTTCTCCACCATCTCCCAGGAACTAACACGGCGCCAGGCAGGCAGGAAGTCCTCAAAGAATGCGAGTTACTGGTATGTTAGAGTGGATAGTCGGTGTCCTGGAATTGAACTGAACTGGTGACTGTCAAGTCAGGTATGATCATTGGGGTCTCTTTTAAGAGCAAAAGAGAGCTACATCCCCTAAAATAAGTTGTTAGTCTGGTTTCATGCTAATAAGGGGCAAAAGAAGGGAGGGAGCTGAAGGGAGTTGGAGTGCAAGAAAAAAAGGGACTAGCTGTCACTCACCCACCATTCACTAAGCACTTTCAAGTGCTCTTTCTAAATGGTACCTCCAGTAACCCAATGAATGGGATTCCATTATCATTCCCATTGACAGCAGACGGACGCGGAACACTGACCACATACCCACGGTCCCACAGCCAGTAAGTGCTGGAATCTGGGTGTGCTTAGCTCCAAGACATTTGATCGTTACCACAACTATTCTGCATCTCATAATTTTCTGGGACCATCAGTACCGCATCCCCTGCCCCTCCCCTGCCTCACCCCAATCTCTGGAATGAATGCAGCTGGTCGGCCTGGTGGTTCTCAATGAAGTGCTACCCAAGATCAGCTGCCGCCAAAAAGGGCAGATGCACCTCTTCCCACTCCTACCCTACCCATGTCGTTAAAACAATGTCATCAGCACACCCGGGGCTCAAGAAAGGACACACAGAGAGGGTTCTGGAACTTCTTAGGAATCAGCTCCATGAACTGTGGTAATTACTGGCTGCAGTCCCAGCCCCCCTCCCTCCCCATCCTTCTCTCACCGGGCAGGCCCTGGGGTGAGCAAGCATCTCTTTCAATTAAGACAACTCCCTGCATTTAGATTCTTTGAGTTTTTATTCAGAAGCTCTTGTGAAATGTCCTGAAGCAAGTGGAGAATTTGGTGCAGAAAACAGCCAATGGAGACAGAGGACTGAAGAGAAAAGCAAATGAAACAGTATATAAAAAATAAATGCGGAAACGAGTCTATCCATTGAGTTCTGCAAACAGGCACTGCCCTTCAGGATTTCAAAGGTCCACACAGAGGCTGGACAAGGTCATCCCTCCCAGGAAATGGTAAGTCTGGGAAAAAGAAGCTTGAACTTGACTTTCACCTGTTCTGTGTCCACAGGGTTTAGGCTAACAGCATGTGCACTTGGCCTCACATTTGACTTCCCCAGAAGGCACCTGCTGTGATGAGGTGTTATTCACTCACATCAGGCCCGATGTCATTCTCCAGTCTAGAAGAATCCAGGGCTTTAGGTCTGCTTTTACAACACACAACTGTATTGAGTTGAGCTGTGTGAAATTTCTGCTATTCTGGGCCTCTCTGGTGGTGCAAGGGGTTAAGTCTCAGCACTATCAAGCTGTCTGCAACAACTGTAGCACAAGTTCGATCTCCAGCCAGGGAGCTACCCACATGGCGCAGCAGACCTCTCCTGTCTCACCCACTACTCCCCTCAGCAGTGTATTTCAGTCAACCCACCTGTTCTGCTCCCCACTCTGTCTCTGGTGAATCCTCTCACCACTGCCTCCCTGCACCTGTGGCCTATACCCCAGCTCTTGTATGCATAAACAAATAAAATAAATATTTAAATAAAAAAAGAAATGTCTGCTATGCTACCATGTTGATGTACAAAAATGGCAATTTCATATGATTCAACCTAAAAATTCCAGTAATATAGGGGTAAAATTAGCCATCAACCTTCCCTGGTTCTGCTAAGACAAAAGGCAAGCCACTGAGTGTGGCAAACATACCTCTTTCCAGCTCCCCTCCCATCACTACCCATGCCTACTGCTCCAGCACAGCAAAAGCTTATTACTAGCACTCTGGACACCCAATGCCTTCTTCATACTGTTGCTTCTACATAGTATGACCTCCCAACCATCCTACTTTCCAAACTCCTAACCATTCCTCAAAACCCAGATCAAAATCACCTACAGCAATCCTCTCTGACCCAGCAACTCTATCTCCAATAACACCAAATTATTCCCTCTTTGGGACTATATCTGAACCTTTTACAGAGTTCTACCCATTCACTTACCACTTTACATCATAATTTGTTTTGTTTAAACTTATCCCTCAAACAGAAAAAAGAGAATTTTTAGAAGACAATGGCAGTCCTATTTATCTCTGAATTACCGAGGTCTCTCACTAAGCTCATAGTAAGTTCTCAATACCTCATGAATGAATCTAGCAGGAATGTCACCCCATCACATTGAAATACTGAACAGTGACAGATATCACAGAACCTGAACAATTTTTCTCTTCATTCTAAGATAAGTGAATATGCAGCAGGTCATCGAATAATGTGTCTTCATTCAACAGCATTTCATTATAACATCGAGGAGAAAACAATCATTTCCTGGCTGGGGCCACTGTCTGGGTGAAGTTGCCTATTCTCCTCATAACTTCTCAACTCCAGTTTCCTCCCACATCCCAAAAATGTGCACATGAGGTTCAATGATGTGTCTCAAGGTCCCAGTCTAAGACAGTGTGGGTGTGTGATGTGCCCTGTGTGCTGGGGCAGAAAAGTGTCCAGGGTGGGGGTCCTGGGTGGGGTCCTGCCTAGCAGTCCAGGGTGGGGTCCTGCCTAGCATCCTGGCCAGCTGCTAGGAGAGGTTCCAACCTCCCTAGCCCTGAATTGGAATGAGGAGATTTAAATGAATGAATGAATGAATAGAAATTACTGTTGAATATCTGTAAAAATTGCTGTTGAAGTTTTTTGGGGCCCACTGGTGTCTATTTAGAAGTTTGGTGTTACATTCGTGACCACAGATATGCTCTCTGAACTTAACTCTTATTCATACCAATTAAACTATGGTAAAATTGGTTTTGTTATGCATTGTTTTGCTTGAAGTCTTGGTTTCCAAGAACTGTAGGCAATGTTAAGTGAGGACTTACTATGTGTGTTATATGTATTATATATAAACTATGGTGCATGTTATATGTGTACGTATCATACTCATACACACACACACCACTCAGTACAAAGCATTTAACAATCCTTCACACTGTTTCTGTACTTCACTTTCAGGGGCTCTCTCTTCTGTGGTGTACGTGCAAATGGAGGCTATAGCATGGCTTCAGGAGCCAGATATCCCGGATGAAATTGTGTTCCACCCATTCTTAGTTGTGTGCACCTGAGATTGTTACTTGGGCCTCAGTTTCCTTATCCATCCTGTGAGGTTCAGAGCACCTACCACTGAGCAAAGTTCATGTGAGTTACTGCATGGAAAACAGCTACTCAGCCTCTCACACTGTTGTGATTATTATTTTTATTTCTCTAGAAGTCTCATGGGGGACGGGATAATCATTTCCAGTTGGGAGTCTGTTTCGAGTTTCTGCTGGGTCACTCCTTTTCCCTTTCAAATGCCACTTGCCATCCCTTCGCACATGAGAGAGAACAGAATGGCCTCCACAAGGACTCTCCAGAACCCACTGATCTCATATCTTCTTCATCAAGAGGTTATTTGAAACTGATAGTAACTGGGATCAATGAAACATTTCATAAACATGGACTTTAAGAAACCTGCTGGCCTATTCCTACAAAGAAGGCAATCAATACTGATTTTCATACATTATTAACTGTACACAAAATGATACTGTGCAAAGGGCAACAGAAATAACAGTTGACATGGTGCTCCTCAGTCCATTTAGAGGGCTCAAAGGAAAGCGGGACCAGCGCGGTGGTAAACAAATGAATAGCGTATCAGGTCACCTTAAAGTGGGACTACACTGTGTGTGCCTCTCTTCACCACTGTATAATGCTATTTATATGACAACAAGACCAAAGAATGGCCCTCGGCATTCTGCTCTACTTTAGAAGCCTTCCATCTCACACTGAAATGAAAAAGATATAATCCAGAAATTGCTTCTTTGGTTAATATTTCTGCAGTTCCGCAGGAATGGTTTTAATAGCATGCATGTTCTGGATTTCAGTTGTCAATTAAGAACCCACCAGAATGCAGAGCTAAATAGTAAAGTAACAGATACTGGCTTATAGTTCAACTTTAAAAGCGCTTTGTTAAACAGTGTCTTGAGGCGAAAGATGGGACAAAACTGGGAATTAAGGAGGGAAAGAAGAAAGGAGTAGGTCTCTCCTCCTTAATAGAGGATCCAGGCCTGTGCTTAGAATTCATCAGGTCACAGAAACAGCACAGCAGGAACAGAATCCAAACCGGAACTTTTCCTTTTACTGGTTGTCGGGTCCTGAGAAAGTTACTCAGCCTCTCTGAGTGTAGGGGTCCTCAGAATTTTGGAGATAATACCCAGCTTTTAGCTAGTGGAGTCAAGCAGGAAAAAATACCATGCACCGGCTATGCAGGGCGCTCAGCAGGGGCTTCCCACAGGTACTTCTCTCCCCACAATTCCTCCCCTTTAAACAGAGTACAGGTTTGGAGATTACAGAGCTCTGGGATGGACTGGCAGAGTCCCAGAGGGAACTGTGGTTTGACCAAAAATAGGCCATTTGACCAAATGATTAAAAGTCTGTCATATGCTAATGCTTAGACG